ATAATGTTATATCTAATATGTAATATTACTGCTTGCATAAAACATAAAGGAAATTTGAAATTAATACAACTTACACAAAGCTGGGTTATATATCGAGATATTATATACTACTATTATATGAACGCATAAACATTTAATGTGATGTGCAAAAAGTGATGACTTCATAACTACGGATGTTTATTATACAAGATATAAGCAGTTTGAAGACACTGATTAAACATTTTGTACATTTAATATTCATGATAAATGATCATATAAAAAAATCTATATAATTAATGTTTACGAATAACTAAATAACAAAACAAAATATTCCTTTAGTTATATACTTTACTTGCATCTAAACAATTTACGAAGTTAGAACCATACCTGTTAAAAGAGAGGGTTGCAGTAGGCATGCTGATGGGGGACAATAGGTGAGCTGGACTGCGTTCCCTCAATGGGCTAGACTTCGTTAACCCTCCACTAAATTTAACATTTTATAATTACAATTTGCCACATGCATTCACATAAAGGAATATTATACTCATGTATCATATTCTTTATATGTAGAATGCAATTTCGATAAAGTACTTTTAATATATTCATTAAAGGATATGATGTGGATATTAAAAATTTGGAAATAAAGTAAAAATTACAATATATAGCATAACAATACACAACTTAAATTTGTTATTCCTTGGCAATACTATAAAAATAGTCAAGTTTTGTAAATGGCATTTCCTAACGTTTCAATATCAATCTAACAATTATCAAGCGACATAAAAAATAAGATTAGCAACAAAAATTACTTGATACAAATAAAATAAAAGTATAACATAGTAAAACAAAGGCGAGATGCCACAAATTACAAAAATACTTACACATAGTACATTATAACAAAGATAAAATATTTTATAATACCTATCATCGGATTGAGACATCTGCATAGGTGTGGCAGAGACAATGTGATTATTATTTGTTTTATCGCATTTCCCCAAACGTTCCACTCTGTCTGCAGGAACTGATATGCTTCTACTAAAATCTGGTGGTGCGACTAATCTGTTACTCTTCTTTTTCCTATAATAAATAAGCATTTTACTATACGATTGTAAAAAAATTATAAAACTCTACAGTACTATGCTTATTTATATACTCATTAAGAAATGGATCCTCTAACAACTCTGCCGCGGTTGCTCTTATATCAGGATTCGGCTCAAAACAACGTAATATAAAACTTTTTGCTCTTTCAGATAACTCTGACGGAATCTCAGGATGTATTTTGTAATATCCCACCTGTGTGCAAACAAACATATATACATCAGACTTTAAATAAATTAGTAATTCTCAATTTAAAATGTTAATAATTTAATATTCTCAATTTACTTTAAAAACAGCTGCTTGTGGAGAACCTAGCTCAATAAATGGAGGCTTTCCGGTGGCCATCTCAACTATCGTGCAACCTAAAGACCAAATATCCGCCTAAAGAAAAATTTAAATAATTGTTATTGTGATATATATGATACAAATATGTCTTTATCCTACGAACATTCTCAAAACAAAACATTTAATTAAACATAAACTTACAGGCGCGCCATAACCACGTTGACCTTTGTCAATAACTTCTGGTGCCATGTACTGTAATGTTCCAGTAAATGTTTCTGTACTCGGGCATAAGCCAGCCAAACGTTTGGACATACCAAAATCAGAAATCTTTACTACTCCACTGTATGTATTTACCAACACATTATCACCTAAATCATATATTTAAATTTACTTGTGTGGAAATAATTATATAAAGATAAAAATATTTTCTTAAACAAATAAACGTAAAATTTATTTACTCTACGAATTATATACCTTTTATATCTCTATGAACTATTTTTTGGTCATGGAGATATTTAAGGCCCTCCAACATCTGTTTAGTATAATATGAGATAGTTGATTCGTTTTCTTTCAAAGGGCCCCATTTCGATCTTAGCAACGCTGATAAACTTCCTGAAATTGTAACAATTGTGAATATTTATAAGTGCCATTTTTTTTATGTTATGCTTTTCTTCTTCCCTACCTCCAGGAACTTGCTCCATAAAGATTTTAAAATATCCATCCTCGCTTACAGAGCCCAAATATTGAACTATATTTCTGTGCCTCAATTGACTATGTAATTTAATTTCTTCATGAAGAGGTTGTACATCGCCCAAATTTCGTTCACGAATTTCTTTCACTGCAATCCTGACTTGCGTATTTAAATCACGCGCTGCGTACACCACGCCGTACGTACCTTTACCGAGAATTATGCGCTTGTTTTGATCATCCAATTCATATTCGAACTGAAAAAACACATCAAACAATTAAAAATTATATACAAAACGTATGTACAATATTATAAGTGATATTAAAAATTGATAGAAACCTTCATGCGATCATCAGTCATGTAAGCATCCAAATCTGTAACCATGCCTTCTTGATCTCTAGTCATTTCTAAGATCAAGTCGTAAAATCTTTGCCTACATTGTACTGATGGCAGATACATTTGAAAATCATCCGAGTTTTGGTGAACGTACAGAAAAAGACATCTTTCATCCCTCTTATACAAGCTTACACTACGGATCATATTTGCAGTAAACAACCAATCGTGAACTTGCTTGCAATTGTTTCTCATATTATCCAGACATAAATTCCATATTTGTATGGACTTCTCCTCCGCGCCGAGATTCACGTTTACATAACTCGGCATTAAAATTTTTGTTGGTTCCAACACTAAAATCTGATGAAAAAATATTGTGATGTATTAAGCGTTTTTGCTAGAAAAATTATTAAAGTGGGAAGTTGATTTTTAAGAGTGAATCCATAAATCTGCACTAAGAGCAGTTTTATATTATTCTTACTTTGACCCAAAATGTACAGAAGTAAGCTGGATTGGTAACACATAACTATAAGCCATAATCTCCCGAATTGGAAACTGGATCCTCAGTAGAACGATTCCATTTATCAACTTACTGGAAACCGTATACTATCGCCAACCTCCGGCTTTGTAGCTTCGACAAAGTAGTCCATCCAGAAACTAAATATTTGTTCCTCCGGTGCAATTTCAGCTTCCTCATTTTTTTTACGGAACCTATCTATCAGTGATATGTTGCCAATTGTTGATTTCAGATACCTTAAAAATTAAAATAATTAATTAAAATAAGTTCGAAAATATACTTTGCTTTACATTCTAAACATATTATGTCTTTTACGAAATAAACACCTAAACTTTATTTCTCGTATACTTACCAATTCGGTGGCTTCAATTTAAACATACATTCAGCTGCTTGTATAGCTTTTGAATAATCTTCCGCTAATACACTAATTTCAAAGAATGTTGCTACATCCCAATAATCTTTTAAGCTCGGTAAACTGCCTTTCTTGCCAATTAAGTTATTTAATACCATTCCTATATGTTGTAACTCTTCACTTTTAGAAAACTCATTTCCGGCTATGACCAATAAAGTAGCAAGATTTATACCAGCATATTCGTTAGGCTGAACCTACAAATATAATAATAACAAAACATTATACACTAATTGAGATAATTCCAATAAAAGAAAAATGATGTATACTGTACCTCAAAACCTTTTCTGTACCAGTGAATCGCATTCTTTAAACTCTCCTGATCTGTGTGTCTACTTTCGACAAATATATCTTTATATATTCTTCCACATAAACACAACATATCAGGAACATGATTTTCTTTTTTTTCCAGTGCTTTCTCGATAACCTTTAGTGCTCTTTCTCGATCACCCTCTTTGTTCCGACGATTTAGAGCAAACGCGTATAAATATCTTATAGCTGGAGTATTTATATAATTCTTATGAGTTGGTATAGTTCTCAAATCGTCAACCAATTGTACCATTGCATCATAATCCTAATAATATTAAAATAAATATAAATGTGTATATTTTTACATAACAGTACAATTTTCATTGGAAAGTAATATTAATCTATCATTATTTGACCTGTATTTCCCGGAATGAAATGAGAACATTTAAAACGACCTCTCCTGATAGAACATTTGGATCATCTAAACGTTTGCGCATGTTATTCAGAGCTCTGGAAAGTTCTTCTCCAGAGTATGTTTCACGCGCCTTTCGTAGATCTGCCAAAAATTTCTCCTTCATATGTGCTCTGGAAGTTTTAATAAAAGCATTTTTCATATTAATATATATTAAAAATGTTATATAATCTGTTTTCTGCACTTTGTAATAAAGGTAATGATTAAACATTTCTAATATAAATAAAGTTGGTTTGCGAAAAATTTTCATATATGCTTACTTGGATTGTATTTCCACATCCTGAAACAATTTCTTGAGTTTCAGAGTGAGATGCTGTTTGGGATCTATTGTTTCTTCGCCTGTGATTCTGCTGGTTGCTGGATTAGTAGCCACACATGATCCACACGATTCCACAACGCGATATGAAACAAATGTGTAACTGCCGCAGGATAACTGTACAAAAAAAAACATATTTCTGTGTAATTAATTTCATAAAAATAATGCATATCGCTGTAATTAAAAAAATATTAATTTTACATAAACGCTATCAAAAAAATAATAATTACGTTTAAAAAATTATACGGACAAATTATTTGCATTTCTACTATCTCGACATATTTTATGTATTACACATTATCAATAATCTATGTTTAATTAACAAATTGAACTTAATATTTGATTATTCATAATCTGTTATTTCATAATTATTCATATATTTTTACGTTAATTTTAACATACGTATGCACTTTAAATTCCTTCTCTCTCGAGTTCTCTTATAAATTGTTATAAATTGTTCAATATGATAATTTCGAATAAAATTAACAATCCAGGTGCAATGAAATGAAACGTATGTAAACAAATCAGTAATAAATCGTAGAGAACGATCGTGCACTGTTGCACAATATACCAGTATTATATTGAGTAACTGCTATATTGAGAGTATGAGCTCACGTTTTTCTATTCCATATTAAGCGGAATTACATATTTGGTGCTTGCCCAACAGGCAGAGACATCGTTTCATCTGATGGATCATGTTTAACCCGCGGCAGTCTGACGTCGAGTACCGTTCCGCGCGCAACACGTTCTAATTGCCGACCACAGTAAAAATATCAAGTCTTTTCGAAATTCTCGAAATAACAAGTCTCGCAGAAAATTACATCAACAAATAAAAAATAATTATGTTAATAAAAAGTGATTATAAAAAATTCAGACAACTGTTAAAGTGCCTACAACAAGATTAAACTACTCGTGAGAAATGCGTAATAGCAAGTGAAATGCATCGTAGAAGTAAATTCTTTTTTAATATTTTGCACTTTCTTTAATCTTTTTGTATAATTTAAATATGATATAATTTTCGGAAACAGTTATTAAAATAAAATCATTTACATATTATAATAATTCTTTCTATACTAAATGGATATTTCTTTTTAATATAAAGAATGAATACTGGAACTTTGATATGCTGTGCATACAGTGGGTCTCTTGCAATGTCCCTGAGCAATCTATTTATGAGAGCATTAATTGAGATCATAGCTATGAGTGCATAGGTCTAAAAAACGGTCAAGGTCACTTGTGTTTTACTGCTGCTACTGCTACTGCTGCTGCTGCTACTGCTGCTGCTGCTGCTGCTGCTGCTGCTACTACTACTACTATTACTACTACTAACTATTACTATACTACCACCACTACTACTACTACTACTACTACTACTACTACTACTACTACTACTACTACTACTACTACTACTACTACTACTACTACTACTACTACTACTACTACTACTACTACTACTACTACTACTACTACTACTACTACTACTACTACTACTACTACTACTACTACTACTACTACTACTACTACTACTACTACTACTACTACTACTACTACTACTACTACTACTACTACTACTACTACTACTACTACTACTACTACTACTACTACTATTACTACTACTACTACTACTATCACTACTATTACCATTATGTATAGTATTTTGCAATGAATGTACGAGACTTATTCGCATTCATATTCTAAAAGCAATGAAAACATATATGTGCTGTACAAAGTATATACATACCTTGAGTCTAATTGTAGCTTCTGTGTCTATGTCATTATATAGCAAAATGTTTTCCTTCATTCCAAAACTTTCCCTGACACCGAGATGATAAAACAGCGCAGATTGTTGCAATTGTATACTTAAATCCACAACTGCCACATCAGCGTTATAAAATGTGTCCAGCACATTAGTTTCGCCAAAATCAAGTTTCTCAAACTACAAAAAATGGAAAATCAAATAAAGATCAAAGTGTACTTCATGACTCTTGTATCTTTAGCTTATAAGTATGTAAAAAATATTCTTAAGATTATCTAGCATTCGACTTTTGATATAAAAAGTTTGTTTTGAAACTGATAAAATTGATGTGTTGCAATAATTTGGTTTTTACTTCTATCACATCTTTATTCAGTCTCATTGAAAATACATATTTTGCTATCCTGCTGTTATTTAAACAGCCAATTCATGTAAAAAGTATACCTGTATATGATGTATATTGGCATTGACCAAATTACAGGCCTGTCTAACTTCGTCTAGTGCTTTCTTTCGTTGAACAAGATGTTCTGATTGCTGCAAATCCAAGACACAAGCCACGTCCATTCTGGGCCTCCCTGGTACCGTTGTGTGCCCCGATATGTCACTCTGTGTTCCCACACTATCCGTACTAGAGATGCCTTCCATAACGCTTGATTGCGAGGCAGCTGTACAAGATTATTCTTATATGCCGAAAGTATTTACACAGCTACTATATTGAGAAAAAATCATGCATGGTACAACAACAGTGTTTATAAAGACTATTCTTTTTCAAAGAATGTTCTAAGTTGTATACTGGGACACTGATACAATAAACTGGAGTGAAATAGTTGATATTTATAGTTCATTCTTATATTCAAGACAGTTTTAAATAGTCTTAAGATGTCATAAGCCAATTACAATCATATTAGCATCTTAAGACATTACTTGAAACAGTCTTAAAATAAAAATAAACTTATAAATACTCGCTTATATTTATTCCATTCCAACTTATTATATCAAAGTTCAAAACATTCTTCAAAAAATAACAGACTTAGATCTGATTACATCGACTTACTTTACTTTAATTTTAAGCGTTGCTTAAACTCTCTCTCTTTCTGTCTTTCTATTGGTTTAAAAAAAAGAAAGAGAGATTTTAAACTTCGCTTAAAGTCAAAATAATGTTGATGCAATTGGATCTTAGAAATGTATGATTTACCAGCCGTATCGATCATATCGCCACAAACAGAAGGCATATTGTTTTGTACTCCACTTGATACACGACGTTCCCCTTGTACTCCTCTTTTATAGAACACCCCAAAGACTGAGTTGCTTATTAGCGTGTACCTGTTCATAAAACAGAATGTCAAACGCTACGTTCTAACTGACATGCCACCGAAAACGCTCGTAGTCGATTCACCTGCACGTATATAAAAACAAGTGCGTAATGTCATTTCCTCGCGGGACACCAATCTCTCATGCCGAAGATTAGCTCGAGATTAAACATGCGACGAACATCACTTTTCGAGCAACTCATTGCTCCCTGTCTCACGACAGGACCACCACGGGGAAGAGAAGTTGCGAAGCGCTCCAAGGAGGATACGCAACAAGAATGCTGTGCATTCACTGGTAGCGATAAATATACTAGTCTGGCTCTCCGTGGAACTCAATTAGAACCCGGAGTTAATCCGCACGACATAATGAACGGACACAGCGAAAGATACTTCTCGTCACGCGCGTCGTAGGAACCGTAGCATCCACTTCTTCCGGAACATGTAAATGCACGTAATCCGAAGGTCCGAAGTCAAGGAGGTGCTCGCGTAGCCGAGATCTTCGCTCCGCGAAGAAGCGTTTCATGCCATTTCACAGATGGCGGCGAGATCAGAGCCGCTCCGCCGGTATAAAAATAGACGTTCTCAAGATAGCGCGAATCATTCCGGCCGCACACACATATGAAACTCAAACGTTCTAGAAAGCGTGCCTGGACAATATAAATCATTCGGATAGAAGCGGATGCGATAGAGCGTCGCTTCACTTTATATATATATATATATATATTTAGAACGTACGTGCTTTTATTCATAAATGCGCTTTTATTTTTAAAATTCTGTATGTACATATGTAATTTAAACTATATGCTAAATAAAATACTCGTGTTGTAACCACGTTCTGTATACATCAGTTATATAATAGTATTTGTAGTTTCCCATACAGCACAGAAGATTAAAGTAATATTGCAGATTGCAATGTAACATTGCAAAGATATTACAGAAATGTAGATTATAAATATGCCTGCAAAATGTTAGTAATATGCTTGTAATATTTCTATTTTTTGTATGATTAACTTACCAAGCGACTGTATTATTATAATGTGGATAATATTTGTAGTTTGTTCAGGATACACACATACATGCTTTATCCTTATGAATAAATTTATTGCTTCAGAATTAATACTATATTTATTGGAATATTTTATGATTTCAAAAAATTGCTTTTGAAAAGCACATATCAGTAGAAATGCGATTTGTTGAAAAATTAAAGTTATTGAGATATATGTATAGAAATAGTTTTCATTTTCAGTCTTCGTAAAATTTATCCAAATACATTACATTGCAATATTGCTGGAACATTTTGTTGCAATGTAATAAAAAGCGGACATCTTAAAATTGTTGGAATTTTGCAATAATGATTCAGCAATCACCATGCAATATTGCAACGTTTCAGTGAAATCATTCTGCAAAGTTTCTGCAATATTTCTGTGATGTATTGGTTATTATACATTAATTATACATTCTGATAATATGCATAATGCGCGCTATAATTATTGCACGTGTAAAAGATCGCGGCACGTGTCAAATTCTTAGTATTCCATCGATGCCATCGTCGATCGTCTTATTAGTGCAATCATTCGGGTCAATCGAAAGTCCTTGGCATATACGTAATCGAGAGACGTTGAATATGCTGCAAGCGACAAATTATTATAAATCCATGCTGTCATCAGCTCAATTATTATATATATGGAACCGTTCAGTATGCAAGTTTTGAAAAAAGAATAATACATTTTCAATCTCATTTCAGAAATACACTATGCATCATTAAATTCTATCTGCTGCTGAATATATTAGCCAGAAAAAATTGGGGGAGATATTTTTATTTAATCTAAAATATAAAAACCATGATGGTGATTTACAAATTAATTGTATATTTATTTGGCCCTGTCAATTATAACTTTTATATAACCAAGAGAAATGATTGTTTAAATATTAATCTTCCTCTTTAATTAATACTTTGATTAGCTATAATAATTTTAAACATTAGCCTTGGAAAACCTAAAACCAAAAAATGCCTCACAAGCATTGTATTTCCTTAGAATATCCTAATTTGATCAGATTGATTGGATATCCTATTCTGATCCGAAACATTAAATCGTCCATATGATTAGCTCAAGAAATTTGTAATTATCATTACTATATAAAATGTCTTTAGAATCCAAGCAGAATAATAAGTCACGATAACGTCAAAATGATATTAAAATGAATCGGAAATGATTGAAAAATTTTAGTGATCATTTTGGAGTCATTTTGACATCATTTTGATATCATAATGACTTGTTATTCTGCTTGGGAATATATTATTTTGATCCGAAAAAATTATCACTATATTGGTAATTGCATTTTTCAACGTATATATGTCATATACATTTACGTATTATATATATTATAGAGACATATCTTTGCAATTTAATTGTTTTTAAATTTAAAAGTTTTTAAATATATATATTATACATAAATATCCCACACAAACATATTGAAAACTATCCTTTATTTCGGGAAGAATTTAATCATATTTATTTTTATATTAATTAGTTATTAATTTGACAGTTGCAGCTATAGCTTATTTTGTTTTTTGTTGTGCATAATTTATTTTTAAATAGGTATATGGTTATTTATTAACACAGTCATGTCTCGCGCCATCATGCTTAGTGCCGAGACACTACCAGATTGACAAAGCAAAAGGAATTTTTGATATAATTTATATAATTTATAAAATTGATTTTATCGATTGTGAGCACTGTTTTAATGAAAATTTTTCATTTTTAATTAAACTAACTATGACTAATTCTATTTAAAAGAAGCACTTTCAGAGGCTCCATGAGCACATTTTGAGCAAGCTAAAGCCTATTGCTAATATAATTAACGTGCTTTTTGTTTCCTGTTTCTTGCTTTTTTACACCTTTTATTTTTTTTTCTCCTTTGCAATCATTTTATCAACAAGAACAATAAAAAGTCGGATAAGAAGCAAAAAGATAAGATGTAAAAAATGATAAAAAGCAAGAAAAAGGAAACAAAGAGCAAGTGACAAAGTTCCCTTTGCATACGCCTCTTTATAGGGATCCGTATCATTTTTTCCTTAAGAAAACAAGTTCATTCCGCGATACTGCGTACTACGTCGCTTGCCTGGCAGAGGAATATACGTACGCTATAGGCGTATGTATATACAAGGTGTTCTGAAAGTTTTTGTCAATTGCTTTTGTGTAGATAGATAAAAAATTATTCAAGACCGAATATTTAGCATTTTTAGTAATTAATATCTTGTTAACTATTGCGAAAATTGCAAAATAGTAGAGAATTTTTCGACTCAGTTTAGTCCGCTCTACACAAAAGTAATTGGCAAAAACTTTCAGGACACCCTGTATACTATGGGCGTCGCCAAGCAAGCGGCGTAATACGCAATATCGCTGCGAGATGGATTCGTTTTTCGTATAAAGGAGAAAACGACGTGGATTCCTATAAAGTAGGGTTGACGATTGTCCGAGTATCCGAGATAGAAATAGATCCGAGATAAAATATCCGATGAAGCGGATATTTCGGATCCGAATCTGTTTCAAACTGTTTAGAATTTAAATATCCGAACCGTGAAATCATTTATCTTTCAAATATGAATAATCAGACAATCATAGTAAATCTATAGTTTACAGATTCCCATTACTGATAGAATATATCGGGACCCACCCGGCCAAAGTATCGATTTTGTCTTCCGGTTTCTTTGTACAACCCACGACTTTATGTTACGCATGATATATGACTTCTCCAATCCCCGGGGTATTGTGGTTACCAAGACAACCACCGCAGCACTGGTTAGCAACCGCACAGTCACTTTGACAACGACTTCTAGAGTCGACCCTCCACCAGCTACTAGGAAGTTATAAACGCCGAGAAAGTCTCTCTCGACGTGATGGCTACGAAGGAAAAGGAGGATAATGCACGCGAGTTTGCGGGTCATTCGCATTCGGTCGAGTCGGGTGCTACAGCACGGAGCAGCGTGGAAACGTACCAATGAACTCCACGCGAATAGGTTGTCAGGAATATGAAAGAGTCTTACGTCTATCTCCGTAAGCGAACTGTCTCCTACACGATGATAGTGCGGTAGTCATTCGAATTCGTTTGTCTGCGAATTTGTGTTAAGTAGACGGCCACACATAATGCAGTTAATTCATTCGTCGCTTATTCAAACTGTCTCTATCATTCGTTCAAGCGTTGCCTCTTGGTGTCATCTTGGCGTGGAAGTAGTCCAGCTTCGAGGAAATAAAAGAGAAGAAACATACGACAGTATATAATGAATTGTTTCAGAATTTAGAAAAACATTGCAATATTGGTATTAAGAGCTCTTTCTTATTTCAGATTATCAAAATAATCGGAATAAATTACAATTAATCAGAGCAAACCTTTCCTGGGATTTCCGATTTGGTCTAATGACCCTTTCGCTCTCTATTTATAACGCGGTTCTGATCCACCGCAGCCGAGGTAGAAGAGAGATGGAAGGAACGGGACGGAACGGGTTGACCGCAGATTCGCAGGTGAGAGATCCGCGATTCGCGGCCCGCGGCGTGTTCGTACGCGCGCGGCTTGCGAGTGCGAGTGCGTGGAAGGATAGTGGGGCGCAGTGATGCGCGGAGCGGCCACTCCGCAGCGCTCCCCTTTCAAGAGGAGCACATAAGATGGTGGGAGGCAGGTCGACGAAAGTAGAAGCTGCGTTCGGACCACGAATGGCGCGAACGGTACGAACTGCTCCTCGGCCATGATACTATCCTATGCCAGGGGGTCCCCAAGAACTGGCCTGTCGTGCTATTGCTAAGATAACCCGCGGTTAGTAGGTTAAGCCTGTACCGCTTCTCTAAGTTTTGTGATTTTTTTCTAATTTTTTGATGAATCCGAAATTGATATCACATTCCAAATAAAAGAAACATTTCTGAACATAAAAAAATAAAAATGAAATATTTTCTAATATTTACAGGAGTGTTATATAAGATAAACGTCCCAGTAATCGGACACGTACCTATGTCCGGACACTTACACAAAATTAATATTATTATTAATCTTAAATACTTTTTTTATTATAATTGTATTATAATTTAATTGCATTTAAAGGTTACAATTAAATTATAATATTACGTTTAAAAAAGCGTATTTGAGATTAACTAATATTAATTTACAAAGTGTTGTATAAATGTCCGGACATAAGAACATGTCCAATCATTGGGACTGGACAGTATCTATGTTCGAACACAAACTTTATTTATTTAAATTAATATTAGTCTCAAATGCTTTTTACCTTAAAGATCAATTTGAATTAGTTGTCTTTTGTTATTAAACAAAATATTAATATACATAGATTTCCCATCAGCATATCAATTTTCTAATTATAGAGAGAACATTAGGACAATTACGTTTCAATATCCGACCGGCTGTCCGGTCACTGATACATTGACGCATTCTATTACTTATTTAAATATTTTAATTAATAATTCTTATAAGTGGGTTCGGATAATTTTTCTTTACTTCAGAGAGTCTTGAGTTTTCAAATGAATGCAAATATTTATAAGATTAGAAATAAGATTATTTATGTTAAATATGAAGCGCCTACGGTCTGAATGTTAAGAGATGTTGAACTACTATTATATATATTCATTTTAAAATGAATTTAATTTCAGAAATAATAATTGCGTGTCAATATGGTTGTCGGACTTTCAACGCAAACAATCTGAAATATTAATAATCTAATTTTCCACAAATTTAATTTTAAAAAACTGTAATAAATATTTTTTAAATAAATATTTCTAATCTTAAAAAGACTATCAAATATTTATATTAAAAACCTTCTATAATAAAACCTTCTAATATATTATAAATTGTATTATTTATGACAATTTATGCTTAAATGTCCGATTATTGGGATATTTACCTTATCTAATATGTTTTCAATTTCTGCATAATATTGACGTGTCTATTATCTTTCTTTATAATCTCGATATTTTATGTTCAAAATAAGAGCATTTTTAAAGTTGACTTGTATTTTAACGTAATCAATTTTATGACAAACATCGCACTATGAATTATGTTAGAAGCTTTTAACATAAAAAATGGATCAGAATATATTGATTTTTCGAAATAATTATGATGTAATTATTCCTGTTGATATGAGAAAAATTCGAAATAAGTAAGTGGAATTATATCCATCATTTTTTATCCCTTTTTGATTCATTATAGATTTCTAATAAATAAATACCATGCTTCTTATGAAAAAAATGCTACTTTATTGATAAGAATACACTGATTTTATATATATATTATTTTGTCCAATAATTATACATAAAACAGAAAATCATATATTTAACCAAAATAAAATTAACATATTGTTTTATTAATAGTGTTCTTGAAATATTCTTATAATATAATAAATTAGTGTTACATAAGATTAGATTAAGTCACATAAGACAAAATAATAGATAGATATATAAAACTAGAAAATATTTGTGTTTAATTCATAAAATCACTTAATTTCTTATGTAAGAAATGTAAAAAGCGAGCTTGCTTGTCAGTATAAAATCAATTTTTTTCATTTATTCAAAATCATTTAAATCATTAAAGTGTGGTGTATACTTTATCTCCTTCTGTTATCAGAATCTGTTCATGGAAATTTATGTAACTGCTATTTGTTGAGCTGAAATTTCAATAACTCACAATTTTATGATTTATATAAAGTGATTAATAAAACAAGAAAATGTATCGAAATAATTAGTATTATTATAAACGTAATTCAAATCAAAAGCATTATTAAGTTATTACATAAAAACTATTTTTTCTAGGTTTTTATTTAAATAGAATAAAGCGAGAAATCAAATTTTTTGTTCAAATTTAAGCAAAATTCCTATTTGAATAAAAGAATCTTTGCCCATGTATTCAAATATTTAGAAATTTTAATTACTGATTATTTCAATATACAATGTTATTAAAATAAAGCGATAAATTTTCCCAAAGGAAAGGACTCAATAAAAGAAAAATAGTAAATTTTCCTTCTTCATTTTCTTTACTTTTTGAACATGAAACAATATGATAAATATTTGCATCTGCTACGTCTTCTTTAGTTTCTAATTATCTTATTATTGCTTTATATGTTATATTTTCTTTAGTATTTTCATCAATCTTTGACTGTGCATTTATGTTGTGGCATTTGCTCCAGTGTTTTTTTAAGTTTTGTGCTGATCCTGAAGATAATTTATATTTATAAATTTTCCAGTTATAAATTTTCTTTTTACTCATTGTATTATGTGAATATCATGAATGTTATCCTTTCCAAATGTTTACCGATATTACTTTTTGAAGCACAAATTTTATTACACAGCTTGCATTGTACTTTAAATTTGCTTAAATATCTGAAATATGGGTTCAAGTCATGTTCAGTAATTTTCTTTAGTGTGTGTTTATGTGCGTTTATTAAATTTATTATCTCTGGATGTTTCCTTTTCAAGTGATATATTAATCTATACGCCGCAGATATAATACTACCGCAAATAACGCATTTCGCACATCCTTCAAATTTATTAAAATATTGCCATATCGAGTTATGACTCACTTTATATGACGTTTTAATTGTTTTATGATTGTTCAAAAATGTAATGTTAAGCTGTTCCAATTTACCATGCAAATTTGTTTTTTACAAATTTTGTATTCTGCCTTAGAATTCTCTAATAAAGTATAATGTTGCATTAAAAATCTGCGTAAGCCATCACTCAGTGTTGCCATTATGTCCTCTTAACATCACAAACTCTGTATTACTAAATATGATACAAGAACTATTTCATGAAGAACTATCGAGAAACATACCCAAGGCCGAAAACAAATTCGTGACGTGCTTTACTAAAATGTAAATATTGATATCATACAGTTTAAATATTTGCTTGATAGCCAGATTGTATCGCTCCACTTATAATTATTTAGTCATTATAACGTTAAATAGAAATATTACCTATAGTGAATATATTCATACAAAGATATCTTTAAAAAATTTTTAATTTTTAAAAAGTAAAGATAATTTATTAATAAAATAAACTGCATACTTCTTAATATTTGACTTAAAAAGATACATAGTAATGGAATTATATATTATTTTAAAAATAAGCGAAAATGAAAAATTGTATTATTTGGATGCACAAAAAATATTCGTTCAGTCGAGAAATTTAGCTTCTATAATTAGGAATACGTACTTTTTTTTTATTAGGTGTTGGAATTAATTCGTAGCGTTTTTAATGAAAGAATGTTATTTATTTCACATGAGCATTAAAAAATACATTAATGAAAGTACTTCCCATCACTTGTAAAACGCTACGAATTAATTCCAACACCTAATATTAAAACAGAACTCACGGTATAAAATTGCTAATTAATGTTTATTTTCTTATTAACAAATAAGCGTTACAGTTATTATAAATAAAAATAGCATAAATTTTTATGAATAATGTACATAAATTTATGTTAATTTAAATTTGGTAATTCAAGCTCAATTTGATTCTGATAACTTATATAATATTCTTTTTCAAGACTGTATCAATTTTCACTCTTTCGAGTGAGATTCCATTCCAATGAATTTAGAAAGTAGGTATACCTACGCGCAAACGACAGCTCGTATGGACAAAGAGAGAGAGAGAGAGAGAGAGAGAGAGAGAGAGAGAGAGAGAGAAAGAGAGGAAAAAAACGATGTAATTTCGGATCGGCGGGAACCGGCACCGAGCACGTTCCATCTTAGGATGCTCGCCTGATCCTCGGGGAGCCTCGCGGTGTAGAAACCGGTCAAGGAATGCGTGTAACGCGTGTACGTACACGTCACGCCCACTCGTCGTCCCTGTCACGTACGAAGGCTCAACGTTCGCATACGCGCTCCGCTTGCGGTCTACGCACGTGTTGCGCGTATCGCCGACATCGCCGTGCCGTATACACATTGGCACGCACGTACATACGTCGCACGCAGTGATCCCGAGTCCTCGAGTGTATGCGGAGCGACAACGGTGTGCTGTGACGTGACGACGCGCGCGCGTCGGAGACGTGCACGTGCGTCTCCGCGTGCACCGACACGGAACACGCGGCTGAAGACGATTGTCGGGAGCCGAGCGAGCTGCCAGGAAACTAGCAAGAGCGACAAGACTCGTTCTAGGAATTTCGCGGTGGGAGAGAATAGTTTGCCTCGGGATCTCTACTTGACACGCATCAAGATAAAGTAAAAACTTTAGTACTCTCGATACACTGTCGTATATTGTGTCTATTGATTATATATTGATTACTTCATAAAATACATTTCAGATACACTCACGTTAGAAGTAAACGCGCTAAATAAAAATAAACGCAAAATAACAAAAAACACGTCTAACATTAAACAGATTTATGCGTCGATATTCATTCGCGTAATTTTAACAGATATACTGACGGCTCTTCTAATCGTAAAGAATTATACAATCTTTTTTGTTCTTTTTTTTTACGAAAGCAGAAAGTCCAACATTTAATTCAATGTTTCTAATAACTTTACGTTACGATACGTATATCTATTCAAAAGGTCGCGTTACGCAAACAGAATATTTCTAACGGCGATAAAAAAGTGTAAATTTTATTAAATTATTTTCCAAGAAGTATCTTTCTCGTAGCTCCGAAGCTTTGCCCGGCTTGTGTAGCGCCTTTATTGGTACCAGCTTGCAGGCCAATGAGTCCCTCGCCAGCCCTTAGCTGCTCCTCCGTAAAAGCCCTCTTGTTCTCCTCCGCCGGTTTCGGACCTAGCCAGGGTCCGCGCCAT